GGGATTTTTTTTTTTAGTTTATAGATCACTCGTAGAGAAAGGGGAATACACTATAGAGAGTTGACTATTTGGACCTAGTTCAGAGGGGAAAAATTGTTTGAGGGGAAAAACTGGCAAGGGGGCCCAGGCCCCTTGGGACATGCCATCCCCCTCAGTGGGTTTTTTGTCTATGGAGGAGTCTTTAGGTGTTGGCCCATAACTAGATTAATATTGAGTATGGGGAAGACTGAAAGGGTCATCTCTCTAGGCAAGAGGTGTAGTTTTTGGTTTATTTGGGTTTTTTTTGTTTTTTGGGTTTTTTTAGTTGTGGAGAAGTGGCCTGAATATTTGTTTTATGATGACCCGCTCAAAGGTCTCGGGGACTATTGTCTTGTCATTTGGTAATGGCAACTATGTGTGAGGAGGGCAAGGATGGGAGGACAGTTTGGGGTGGCTATAAGAACTTTGTTGGCATGTTGTTGGCATGACTGCATTTTTAAAAATATCTTTAATTTTTGATTGAGACAGAAATTAATTTCAGTCACTTTAAGGGTTATTTGAGGCTTGTTTAGTGAGATCGTCAGATGTTTATGAGGAGCTGTAGGGGTCTCGGGCCCCATCAATCTTTAGTTTTAAAGGCCAGCATGGACTTTAGAAATCTCAAGTTTTTTTCAGAGTTTAGTGTATTTTGTCTTTAGTGACTAGTTTTATATTTGGGGACAAGGTCTTAGTGGAGAACATGAGGATGTCAGTTATGGGCATTGTTTAATGTCCAGGCCGTCTATTTTGGAAACAGAGATTTTTTTAGGCAGAGTCTCTGATCTGGGCCGTGTCCAGATCTTGTCTTTGAAGAAGTTTTTAGTCTTTAGGATTATTATGAGTGATTATTGGGTGTCGTTTAAGTAAAAGTTAAATCAAAGGTTAAGGTGTCTTGTCAACTTGTAATAATATTTTTTTGAGTTATTTGAGAACTTTAAAAAAATATGTTTTGAGTTGTAAGAGTTTTAACACTGAGAAGTAAAACTAAATTTTAGTAGATTTTGTAAGGAATAGTTGAGTATTATCAAGAGGGTGGAGCCCAGTGTATAGGTTTTATAAGGCATCTGTCTTATTAATTACATAAAAACTTTAGTTGGATAATGAAGTCTTAATCTAAATTTTTATTTTTTTAGTTAGATTTTTTGATCATTTAACTAAGGGGAGAGTCTAGTGGGGAAGAGGCTTAACTAAAGAAAAAACAGGAGTATAAGTAGGCAGGGAGGGAGGAGCTCTCATCTTAACTTGTCTCACTCTGTTTTGTGAGACTTGTACTCTATTAAGTTCTCAGAGAGGAATTTTTAGATTTTGTCTCTGATATATAGGCCCAATTTTTATTAATTGTCTATGTTTATCTTTTTTATTTCACCTTGGGAAGTTTGATATTTTTTGGAGGAGTTATTAAGTTTGTAAAAATAGAAGTACATATATCTACATTTTTTGAGAGGTTTTTTTTGCTATAGGGCACGTGTGCTTGCCAGACAGAGAGAGACAGAGAGACAGAAAGTGAGAAATCACCCCCCGAGGGGATGGCCACGCCACAATCCCTTCTCCTCCATTCTCCTCTTGGGATCTTGGGCACACACGCACACGCGCCCAGCATGAGTTTTAAGCCACCGGTTCAGGGACACAAACCGTGGTGGACTATATGGGAGTCCAGCGACATAGCCATTACGCTAACTGCTGGTCCCATATATCTACATATATTGCCTGATAGTTTATGAACATGTATAAACAAACAACAAAAGGAACAAAACTTGTTTTAATAACTTTTTTAATGTAAAACTGAACAATCTTATTAACAGACCCTCTCGATTTTGTAAAATTTAAAGACCAACAATAAGAATAACTAAAGTATGTTAACTTAATAACAAGAATTATAAGGAGGACTCAGAGAAAATTAGGCAGTAATATTTTAACGAGTCTATATTTAACATTAGACTTATATTTTTTATATTAATTGTATCTTTACAACTCAGGTGTATTGTATTGGCTATTCAACATGTAATTTTGTCAAACTTTATTTTTTTGGTTAATTTTGGCTTAACAGTTTAGAAAACCAACCAGTTTATATAAAAAATAAAAATTTTATTTAGTTAAATGATTAGGTTTTTTAGAAACTAGTATTTGTAAGAGTATATTCTTTTTTTTTAATCTTTTTTGTGAATTTTTTTAAGGACATGACACTAAGATTATAGTCATAGTTAATGCTTTGATAAAAATTTATAACAAAGAAATTTGGCTAGAAACCAATTTAACATAACAACTTATCGGGGCCGGCAGGTGGCGTGGTGGTAAGGGCACTGGACTCCCACATAGTCAACCATGGTTTGAGTCCTAGATCTGGCGGCTTGCTTTCTCACTTTCCCTCTCTCTCTCTGTCTCTCTCTGATCAAATTAAAATAAATAAATAAAGTTAAATAAAAAATAATTATTAAATAAACATAACAACTTATTACATGACTGATAAATATTCTGTTATAAATTTTTGGGAATCTCAAATTATTTTGGAACATAAAATACATATATATAGACATATAAGTATATAACATATTTTTATATATAACTTAAATATAATGTCAAGAAAATTAGAATAATTTGATTTGACAATGTTTTTTATCTTTATCTAACATATAAAGAATAAGCCTGATTAGTTTAACATCTCTTTTTTGGATGTTTAGGGGCCCTCTGTAAACATCTAAGAGTTATTTTGAGGTCAAAGATCTTCTGTCAGCACTAAAACTAAAAAACAGAAATAGTAACATAGAACACTAGTTGTTTTATTAAGCCAGCCACATCAAGATAAACATGATGTTGTCTGATTAATAAAAACTTAGACAAAATACATGCTGAAAATTGTGAAGACTTTCACTTATTAATCTTTTTTTCATTATATTTGAAACCAGATAATTTACTAAAGATATATGAACTTGAAAAGCATTTAAACCAATTTTTTTTTTTTTTGTAGAGGTTTTTGCCATAGGGCACGTGCGCTCGCCAGACAGAGAGAAACAAAGAGACAGAAAGCGAGAAATCACCCCCCAGAGGGGATGGTCACGCTGCAATCCCTTCTCCTCCATTCTCCTCTCGGGATCTTGGGCACGCACGCACACGCGCCCTGTGTGAGTTTTAAGCCACTGGGTCTGGGACGTGAACCGTGGTCGACTACGTGGGAGTCCAGCGACATAGACATTACGCTAACTGCTGTTTCCCCTTAAACCAATTTTTATGAGTATTATTTTTATAAACCAAATTGAATAGAATTTTTAAAGGCCTTTTTCACACAGATACACAACATATAGTACATAACATGACATATTATATGCATGCATGCACACACACATCAGGACTATAAGAGCCAATTTTCCCCTCGGGTTACTTTGACACTAATAAGATAATTTACAGAGATACACCATAACCTCAGCCCGTTGTCAAAAGTCCTGAAAGTGATCTAGAAAACAGTTAAGGGGGGCACATTTAGACAAACAGACTGACGACTGTCCCTGACCCATCTTGACAAAAACAAGACTGACAAGACTACAAATCAAGACAGTCCACCCAAAGACAAGCAGGGTGATGACTGGTCCTGTCCCATTCTCAAAGACAAGACAAAGCAAGACAGTGTATCTAGAAATCACTGTCACCAGGGACCTGAAGTGCCATTGCACTCGGGCCCAGTGACCTGGGGGTTCTGCTGCATTCAGCCCTCAAGTTCCACCAGGAGAGCTCTCAAACCAAGATAACTAGAATGTTACCAGATTCAGGTACCACCAGTAACTCCAATTTCTGATCTACCTTTGTGAGGCCACCTTCGCCCTGTTGGGACCTGGGACAGGGTGTAAGGAGCATCCTCATTGGAGTGTTATTCGGCACCCTAAGGTTACCAGATCTTGCTGAGGCCTCCAAATGTTATAGAGTGTCACCAAATGAATGACCACTAAAGTCAGATTAAGTTTAAAGGGAGTCTTTATTAGCTGGCCAGCAACTACAGTCTTGAGGCTCGGGAGGAGGGGAGTGCCGAGAGTCAGAACTGTAGCCCTGACTGAAGTTTGAGTAGTCTTTTCATAGGGAGTCAGTTACCAGGGGGTTTTGTGTAAGCAATTATAAAAGCTGAATCAAGTAGGTTAATTATTTCTGAGGGGAGTGGGGTTTCTATGTAAGCAGTTATATTGTTAACCAAAAGGGTTTTGGGCTAGTTAGCAAAGACAGTAGCAGGTATAAAATGTCATCTCAGATATGGTTTTTTTGCATGACTACCACAAACTATTTTCTCATGAAAAGAACAAACAGGTTTACAGAAACAGACAGCCACGTTAAAATAAGAAAACAAAACAGACAAACAGTTGTTCATATGCAAGATCTAATATGCGGCCTTCTACAGATGCATGTAATTAACACTATTGTACCACGCTTAAACATGGTTAAGATGGAACATTTTGTTTTATATATATATATTTTTACCACAATGAAAAAACAATCAACAAATCACCCCCATGTTGGTGTAAATTCCATGTCATATTGTGTGACCAACATCATGTGTTAGTCTCCCTCCTGTTTCACGGCATTCCAGGCTCCAAAAGTCAGAGTGGTGCTCGTTTCTCTGTCCCCTGACACAACTGGACTATCAGTCATTTACTCCTTTGAGCATATGCATGCAAACACACGCATACTCCATGTGCTCAGTCTGAAGGAAAACCGGCCTTCCCACTGCTTGACAAAAATTAGAGAATAGGGGTCAGCAGATGGCATAGTGGTTAAGGCACTGGACTCCCACATGACTGACTGTGGCTCAAGCCCAGACCCGGTGGCTGGAAAATCACACTGGGTGTGTGTGCATGTGTGCCCAAGATCCCAGAAGGAGAATGGAGGAGAAGGGATGGTGGCATGACCATCCCCATTGAGGGGTGATTTCTCT